GGCAAGAGGGGTTTCAAGAGTTGAGAAAAACACAATCTGCAATATAGCCTCTAACAAACAGTACTGTTTTTCCTTTGATAAAAGATAGAGTTGGCCGGGCGCTGTGGCTCACGCCTGTAATCCTAGCTCTTGCTCAAGGTCAGGAGTTCAAAACCAGCCTGAGCAAGAGCGAGACCCCGTCTCTACTATAAATAGAAAGAAATTAATTGGCCAACTGATATATATATAAAAAAATTAGCTGGGCATGGTGGCACATACCTGTAGTCCCAGCTACTTGGGAGTCTGAGGCAGAAGGATCACTCAAGCCCAGGAGTTTGAGGTTGCTGTGAGCTAGGCTGACGCCACGGCACTCACTCTAGCCTGGACAACAAAGCGAGACTCTGTCTCAAAAAAAAAAAAAAAAAAAGATAGAGTTATTCTGAGATAGAAGGTTGAAAGTGCTAAACAACAGTCAACAAACACATAGCCTGAATAAGTAAAAAGAAATTACGATGGAGTGATTTTTTGTTTTTCTGTATTTTATAAAATCAGCATGGCCTATGGTTATAGGTACAGCTTAAACATAGGTACTCAAGTTTAGGTTGCAGGTTGATTTTTATAGCTCACATGTTTAAGTCAGTTGATTTGTCCTCATGTGTAATTTAGCTGCCAACCTTGCATGAGATCTTGAACTTTAATACCATATAGTCTAGAATTCAGGATATTAGCTGAAAGCAGTAAAGGTTAGAAGACTTGGATTCTAGTCTCAATTCCATTACTAAGTCACTATGATTCCAGAAAGTCACTTGAACTCTTTGAGCTTCCATTATCTGATCACTAAATTGAGACCACAAGACTTCCTTGCTCTTGAGATTCTAGCATAAGAGGTTTGCTTGCCATAAAGTGTGATGCAGAGGTTTCCTCTAGCCTATCCACCACATTCTTTCTGGAATGAAACCTGTAAGCCCACATTAGGGGGGGAGCAGGCAATCTAGATTAATTGATTGATTGATTGATTGATTGGGTAGATGTTCATAGCTAAGATTCCATTTAATCCTCCTGGTAGTCCTGAGAGCAGATGTTGGTGTTCCTGTTTTACATATAAGATAACTAGAGGCTGAGGGTTGGAGCAGCTTGCCTTGGGTCCCCCACTGATGGGAGAAAGAACAGCTGGAATTCAAACCCAGCCTTTCTTCTGCCAAAATGCAAGCTGCTTCCTAACTGTCATGCTGCTGCTGTCATTTCTAGAACTTAGATAATAATCAGAATAAGTTGGGACAGGTTTAGATTCTCAGGATCTTGAAACAGCAGGTTCAGCACGGTGCCTTGAGGGTTTTGGAAAGTTCTCTTGGAAGTTTTTGATAAAATGTAACCAGTCAAGCCATACAGCCTTTCTAGTCAAAATGAGAAATATTAATATTTTTGTTGTTGTTGTTTAGAGTCAGGTCTCACTATGTTGCCCAGGCTGGACTCAAATCCTGGTCTCAAGTGATCCTCCTGCCTCTGATAGCTGGGACTACAGGGATGAGCCACTGTGTCTGGCTTAAGAATTGATAAAATTTCCTATGTGGAAACGTAGACAGAGTGGGTCACTAAAGAAACTCAAAAATATCCAGACACCATGGTGGATTTCTGGTTAGTAATTTGAATGTTCTCTGCATTGAGTAACCAAGGAGAAAATTGCTCGTTAAAAAAGTACTTCACTGTGTGTGGCTTTTAATGAGACAGTAATTCAGAACAGAATTAAAAGTTTCACATTTGTTAGTGGACTTTTTAAGAGAACAAAAAGGGCAATGGCTAATATTAAAATGGGTGTTAGATTTGTGATCAGGTGCCTCTGACCATGTGCTCTTGGGCATTATTTCAGCATTCAGTTCACATTTTAACATGTCGTACATGTGAGAAGAACCTACGAGCATTTCGATGTCTAAATTATAAATGCCTTTTGTTACAGAAAGCAAGCAGCATTGAAGCCCTAAGGATATTAGGTAAGAAAATGTCAGATGATACTGCTCCGAATTGCCCTTGCTAGTAGTTCTGCTAATAAATTCAGTTAAGATCCCAGGGCTATGTTTTTTAAGGGTATTAAAAGAAATGGTTTTTGGCACCCGAGAGATTCTTGGCTGTTTTTAAATGTTGCCAGAGTTAGGGTGATATTTGTTTTCTCTTTGTCATGGTGTTTACATGCCCTGGCTAGGACCATGAGTGAAAATGCATTTGATGATCTCCTGGTCTCACCCCAATCCCTAATGGATGTTTGTCTAAATGACAACACCCAGTTTAGCGCTGTTAACACGGCCGTTAGTGGGATGGGAGAGTGTGTGCTATGTGTGACAGTTGGGGGCATGAGTGGCAAGATCGGGAACCTTCTATGAAGTAAACACTTCCTCCTCTAGGATCCAGTTCTGGAAATACCTTTTTGTTCTGTCTCCCGTAGTGCTTTAATTTAGGAGTCAAACGATAAATATTCATTGAATCAGAGAATCTCAAGACTGGATTATTACTCCCTGTAAACATAGTGCTGGACTTTCTCTGAGGAGCCAGATCTCTCAGCCTTGACAAGGACAAGCTTGTGACAATTGGGTAGTATCATCAGGACGTGAATGATGGGCTGCTGTCTGGGGTCAATTTCTATGGTATTATGCACAGCATCCCTTTGTAGGTTTGATTGTGAGCTTGATTAACGTGGCAAGCTGCTTTCCAGATATGTGTCTTCCGTGGAGTATTTAGCAAAATGCACACACATTTCTATTTTGTTCACCATTGTGCCAAGCACTGTATGTGGATGTGTTGGACGCAGTGGGGCCTTTCAGGAAACAGCAGGGCGATACGAGGCAGAGCATGACAGGTCTTTAGAGGGCCGTGCCTGCTCTAACCCAGGCCCACAAGCAGACTGCGGACTGAAAGGGGGAGCCATGAATTGAGCGTTGACAGCGGGCCACGGCGGTCCGAAGGCTCAGGTGGTTGTCAGCCATAAGTTTAGCTCAGCTCTTTGAGTAATTTGTCACGCCTCGCTCAGCCCCTGCTGGGCCAGCACGTGCCAGCTTAGTGTCAGAGTGCCTGTTCGCCAGACGGCCACTCAGGCCTAACGTCCTGCTGTTCCCTGGACCAGAGGCTTGCTGGGGCCATGCACGCAGGGCCGAGCAGTGGCGACAGCCAAGTGCTGTGCAGAATAAGCATGTTCATAATGAGACACGAATGGCATTAGTGGGTCCCTCTAGAATTGGGCCTGAGCAGGCGCCTCTCACTGAGAAAGTTTGGCAGCCTGTTCATTAAGGCAAGTCACCAGGAGTTCAGCCCACAGTCGAGAAGCCAGCTCAGGCTCACGCTGCCCAGGCTTTGAGCTGTTAGACCCATCTATATAAAAGATCATAAATCATCAGAGGGGCCACTTTTGAAATCTTCAAGTTCATTTTCCTTGTTTAAAGTTGCATAGAGCAAGCAGGAAGAGAAATTCTGGCATAGCCCTGTCCAGTAGTGTTGTCCACGATGACGGGCATGTCCCATTTCTGTGCAATCCGGTCCAGTAACCCCTAGCCATGTGTGGCTGCTGAGTGCTTGAAAGATAGCAAGTGGGGCTTAGGAACTGAATGTTTACCTTTTTAGTTTAATTAATTAAAATTTAAACTTAGATAGCCGCATGTGGCTCGTGGCTACCGTATTGGATAGCACAGCCCCAGAATGCCTCTGATCTCCTCATGGTGTGAAATTCATCCTCTGAATATAACCAAAGGAGCCGGGAGAGGAAGAGCCTGCATTTCGAAATCGGTGCGCATACTTTGCCATAAGAAAACAGAAGAGTATTTACCTGTTTTAAAGCATGTGCTCTATCAAAAGCTGATTGGAAGGGCATAATTGTCACCAACTCATAATTTGAAACAGGCCACTTTGAAAAGATAGTTTTAAAATCTAGTGAGAAATGCTAGGATTATTTTTCCTCTTCTGGAGCTGCAAATGCAAAACCGATGGTGATCTACATTCTCTGTGTTTCTGGAGAATTAGCATGATTTTCCGAATGGCTAAAACATGTCTTTTAACTTTTGCATTGATAATGAGGAAAGGGAAAATGAGACATCATGCAGACTTCCCCGAGCATTAATTCATAAAGTCGTACGTGCAGTGCCTCCGTCCATTGTCAGCTTGTTCTGACGTTATCCTGTTATTGGAAGTGCATGATTCACCTTCTGAGGAAACAGAAGCCACACACAAAAGGGGAAGATTTGCTTTCTGCCCTGTGAAAGCCTGCCACACGCAGGGGTCCTATTAAGACAGCTGGAAAGTTGCTTCAACGTGCTACGCTTGTAAGTTTTATTGGTGACTGGTTTTTGATTACACATTTGAATGCTGTGTGTTCCAGACTGCAGTTTTAATTAAAAGGCAATAGTCTTTTTTTTTATTATTGTTATTGCATTGTGTACTCTACTAGATTCTCTCACATAGTAGTTTTTATTTTTTAATGCTCATAGCTTATCTTGGTTAGAGGTCTGATACCCCTTCAGAGTGTTCCTTCCTGGCCCTCTCTTTTCCAGTAATTGCATTTTCTTATTTTTAAAAAGTGTGTGCATTGTCAGATCAGTTCTTACATTAAGTATCAATTGGATTACATCAGTAGACAGAGAAAGAATGTTTTATCCACTAAAATAGGACATGAAGATCCAACATTGTTCCACAATTGTTCAGTGGAAAAGATGCCATTGCAATCAATGTCTTGTTTCTGTTTGTTTGTTTGTTTGTTTAAATCAACTTTAATCACCTTTTGATGTTATTCTGTAACTATTATTTACATATTTTCAGATGATTCTAGTGCTGAATGCAACTGAAGTGTTAGAGAAACTCAAGTCTCAAAATCAGAATTGTATTATTATGGCTAAGATTTAATTTTCTGATAAGATGCTAAACAACTTGCAAGATTCTTTTTTTACACACACGTAAAAGTTGTGTGACTGTATGTAAAACAAAGTGAACTGTGTCGCTGCCTGCTGTTCTGTACGTGCGTTTGTTCCCTTAACCGATTGCTGCAGCTACGAAGAACGAGCTCTGTACCTCGAAGCAATAATTCAGAACCACCGCGAAGTAATGACATTTGAGGATTTCGCAGCCCAAGTCTTTTCTCCTTCTCCCAGCTACTCCCTCAGTGGAATGGGTGAGTGTCTACATTATTCTCTCACGCACTTAAGATGCATTTGAGCAGCAGATGTACACCTGTTTTTCACAGATAAATGCTTGCAAATTTAAGAAGTGCATTCTCCCTCTGAATCAACTAATGAATATCAAAAGGAATGATGACATTCATTTTAATTTGTTTTGTATCCGAGCTGTTCACTCAGTTCCTTTCTTCAGCTATCCTGTTAACCTCCAAATCTAGCAAGGTTAATGAACTTTTTCTCAGTAATGTGCTCCGGTTCATTCAGGAGTGGGTTTCTTGCTGAGCTGGGAATATGTTGTTTAAAAGCGATGCCCGAATCAGTGCTTACTTATCAAAAAAGAGTTCCTCACAGTGGAAGCCGTTGCTACTAATGCTAAATGGGGATTATGCTGCCGAGAAACGAGGGTCAGGGATTAATGCAGGAGACATGGAAGGACAGTGTCCCTGGGTCCATCATTACAGCAGTGCAGCATGCATGTGTCTCTCTGGAGTGGCCTGTGTCATGTGGACAGGCCGCCGACCGCAGCAGCACCTGGTGTGGAACTCGCTTAGAAACTAGTTTGCAATAATTTTCATTTATTAGGCTAGCGGAAAACTATAAAAATTTCAGCAGGTTTCCTTTGGTTTGGGGGCTTTTACTCTTTTTATATTTTCAATTTGAAAATAAAAGTGTACTGCCACTTAAATTGATTGTATGATTAGCATGGTTTTTTTCAAAGAATAAAATTATTACGTGTACATTTCTGCATGTAATTACAGATTAATTGCCTTTCAGAGAGTAAATGGGATATTTAGTCAATGCATGTTGAAATTCTCAATGAGGAGCTTCCTTCGTCTTCCATGGGTTTAGAGGCAACTGCTAGAGTGCTTAATAGATTTCTAACCTGTATCAGTTGTCTCTGAACACTGCCTTACTTCTCCTATTCTGACTTGTTAACAAATATCTTACACACAAAGTGAAAAAAAAATTAAATTCAGTGAAATAAATCACTTACAAATAAAATCAGCCATGCATCATTGTTTAACATCGCTGGCTTCAATCCTTGCCTCTCAGAGCTTTGTTGGGAGATAAGAGGGAGAGGCATGCACTTGCACGGGGAGCCAGGAGCAGCAGGCAGAAGGCTTGGGAGATAAGCAAGCTGGCAGAGGTGCGGGAGCCGTGTGATTTACATAATCACGCCTCTGCTTCCTGGTGAGGCGTCAAGAAACACTGGGATGGCCTCTATTGATCTTTGTTGAACTGGAATACTAAACAACATGAGAAAGCTTATAACTTAAGGCTTTGATTAATGTTTCTTACATTAAAAAAGTAGAACAGCTGTGAATTGAATTCTTTTATACACTCTGCCAACGTTCTAGCTCAGACCAAAAAAACAAAACAAAACAAAAATCCATTTCAAGGGAAATGAAGATTTCATACCCAGGCTGGCTAGAGGTTTAAAATTGTTTCTAATATTTTGGTGAAAAACATGAAGGATCTGTAGCAAAGCTAATTTTTAAAAGATCTCATTCAGCTTTTTCGCGTCATCCTGAGATATTCCAGTCCTCGTGAGTACTTGATGTTCAGTGCAGGTTTTTTCTTTTTTAACTCTTGAGGGAGCTTTTCATTTCTTAAAATTAAAAGAAAAAAAATAATAACTAGCTAGATGGTTACATTCCTTAACTGTTACATTCTTAAGGTTATCGATTAAGATGTTATCAAAACAAATAATGATGGACTTTATTTTCTATGTATATTTTAGCCTCTATATAAATTAATTTGGGCTTTTCCAAAAGTTCATAATTATTTAAACCAATTGAAATGAGTCATAGGTAACATCGTAAGTGAGACTCTAGGAGCAATTTGAGTTTTTATGGCCGCTGCTTGGAGAGGATTGTCAGTAGGCTTCTTTGAGAGCATCATATGTTTGAAAGTTACTTGACAGAATAAAGATTCTGACGGCATGTAACAGCGGGCATTAGAACTTTTAAAGAGGAACGGGAAACAAACATGGGATATCAAGATAAATGCTGATCCTTCCTCTATTCAAATTATTATTCTCAGTATTACATTTCACAATGTTCATGGTGTAGGACATTCGGTGTTTAGTGATAAAATCTTTTATACATGTATCACACCTATCTTTGAGTGTGATTTTTCGGTCTGGGCGTAAGGTCCTGTTTTAATGCTTTGCATATCTGCTTATCACAGTGACTAGGAAGGAACTAAGAATAAACTTGAACTGAAATGTGGGGGCAGTGCAGAGAGGGGGGGGCGCATTTCAGCACTGCATGCAGGAACTGCAGCCTCTCCTCATTTACATTCCTGTTTTGCTTTTGAGGAATCCCTAGCCTTGCCTGTTAACTACTTTTAGAGATAAAAACATTCTTCATTTATTCACAGTGTTTTTTATGGGGACAAGTACAGTCAAACCCAGAAGAGCTGGCCAGCTTAAGCTATGAAACTGAGGTGAAGTCTGCTCTTCCAAGCAACAAGCCAACTGGAAAAATTGACCCTGAGCGGCTTAAGCTCCCACAGTGCACTTAGGACCCAATCAGACCATCTCTGGCCGTCAGGGTCATCAAAGCAGGGCCTTGGGCTTCTGCTCACATGCATATGCACAATCTGAGGAATTAGGAGCTCCTAGGTTTCCTTTGTATCCTCACAACAAGGAGCTTTACTGTTAATGAAGAGGGAGAGTCACCTGAAGGCTGTATTCCTTCCACACTGTATTTGTAGCAGCAAGCCAGAAAGCAGCATGCAGCTGCCGCAAGGCCGGCCGCAATATCAGCCGTTAAGTCGTTAAGTCAAGTCGGAGGTGAAAGTAAGAGACGTAAGAGATGTGCTAAGTGGGAGTAGCCTGTGCCCCAAGATGCCACAGTTGGAAAATGCGTCGGCCTCAGACTCTCCCTGCCCCAGGGCGCGGGCGCTGAGCTGTCCACCTGGGGAGCCCTGCTCATGACGCCCTGCCAGCCAGGGGTGGGCTGTAGGGCTGATACCTGAGTGCTCAACTTTTCTCAAAGGGCTTTAAAAGAACAAACAAACCTGTTTTCCTAATCAGAAAAATGTTCTTAAAGCCTGATCTACCTACTCCATCCATGACTTGTATTGCTAACGCCTGGTGTATAATAGGTGTATTTGCCCTGCTTTTTTGCCTAGCCCTATGGCTTGCCTTCCTTTATTGGTTCCGTTCTTTATTGACCTGCAATAAATAGGTAGTCAGCGCTAACATATTATTTGCAGTTAACATATATGTTTATACATCTATAGGGGTGTGTTTGTATATATGCATATATATAAATATGTATTTCACATACGTATGTACTGGAGTAGGGAACTAAGTTTGTTAGTTTCAGTCATGTTACCAAGGAAGGGGGACCAGCAGAGAGGCCTTTAAAGGGTTAACTGGAATGGGCACCCTCGACTGCTGGGAGGGACTGATGTAATCACTGCAGCTCACAGCCAAGTGCATCTGTTCACCATGAGGTCATTCTTCTGCATGCTAATGATTTGGAAAATCAAGTATAATGTTTGACATTATCGGAAAGGATATAAATAGTGTAAATCTTTACTTTTTAGAAGCTGCTCTTATAGAACAAAAGGAGGAAAAATAAAACCCTTTAGTTTGGACTCGAGATATTCTTTCCAGAACTGTTTTTAAAGATGGTTATCTGGACCTTAAAAATCTTGGAGGAATCCACTTGTGTGTCTGTTGATAAATGAATCCCAAAATCACTATTACAGTCGCAGCTTGCACTTTGGGGACTTAGGACTATAGGTATGTCTCATGTAATATATAATTTTGAGAATTTCCAAGTGCCTCGATCAGAAGTTGATGAAGATGGGTTTTTCCCAAAGAATGTCTAAAACCAAGTTAAATGAGTGGTTCATCTCAGCATACCCAAATTGACTTGCGTTTGCTGAAGATGCCAACACTATTTATGGTGCCTTTCTACTTCAATGTTGCTATAGAGAGCCAGCAGAGGGAGCACAGGTCTTTGTTTATTTGTTAGCCCTACATAAACACAGCATTTGATTTCTCCAAGATACAATCAGAAACACCTCCTTCATGATAGACTGGATTGCCAAGGCTCCAGGGTTTAGAACAAGTGGGAGAAGATTCCTCACTATGCCTCATCAGATTCTGCCACTTTTAATGTAGGTCATTGTGGAGCTTAAGCCAGATTAGTCTGAGTCGATCTTAGGATATCCCTGCCACCCCTGCTATTGTATAAGACTAGAAAGTTTCGTCCTGCACCCAACTGCATGGATACCCTCTTGCAAAGGCTCAACTACCTAAAAGAAAAGACTTTTATAACTTTTTTCTGCAACAAAATAATTACATTAAGTTCACAGAAACTTTGCCAGAAGACTCTGCCTCGTGTCACTGGGTCATTTTGACAGCCAGTGAAATCCTCTCATAAAACTGCAGACAGAGGCACTTGCGTTACACATTGGTCCCCAAGCGAATCTGAGGTGTAGATGCTACACGTACTACTCTTAGAGCTCCCTGGCTACAACCAGCTTCTGCTTGCTAAGACCTCCACACCGTATACCAGGGGCCAGGATATTGCATGCGTGTCACTCTGCATGCAGACCCTGACAGAAATGTTTCATTGGTTCTTTCACTGGGCAGTTAATCAAATTAACCCCCAGAAACAGCACAAGTAACTTATAACCTCCCAAAAGATTTTCCCCATTCATTGAAAGTATGGTCATGTTATACAATCATTCTCTCCCCCTGGGCCTCCCTGTTAAAGTGGTCTTTCCCCACCCCACCTCCCACCTGCCCCACCCTAAAGTGGTCTTAATAAAGTTTTTATTGATGGCCTTTCTTATGCATCTTATGTGTTCAACTTATAACTTTGCTGAAACCAGCAAAGAACATCACAGAATGTTGAGCTAGAAGGGACTTCAGGAATATCGAGTCTAACTCCTTCACATTAATTTTGAGTAAGCTGAAGACCAAGCTATGAAGGGATAACCAAAGTTCATGAGCAAGTTGAAAGCGGGGCCA